GCGGCGGGCGGCGGGCGCACTGAGCATGCTCGGAGGCGCTGGCCGCCTAGTCCTTGGCTCCGGGCGCTCCACTTCGGATTTTAGTTTTGACCAAGTGGGATCTGTTGTTCCACAGCGGTCCCGAGGAGCTCCACGCGAAATACTTCGGCGCCCAACCTGGGAGGCAGGTGTGCAAGCTCGGCATAGATACCCGCAGGGAGTTGTGCAAACTACAGAAGAGGAGAACATGAGAGGAGAGGAGCCTGGCAGAATGCGGGAAACCAGATCCTCTTTGTGAGCTCTGCGGGAAGGGGTTGAGCTGTTTTCAGTTAGGGACTTTTTAGGGGCGCAGGTGAAAGGTGGAGACAGGTAGTGTTGGTAATTAGTAACACCAGCGCAATGCCTCCAAAGGAACGATACAATTTACACCATAGATGGGGCATAGAAAACAGAAATGGACGATACTGAAGATAGGAAAAAAGTGGAGGGAAATGACATTTGTAAATAATACATTTCAGTTTTAACTTCCCAAATCATTTAATACTTCAAAACAGAATTTAGTTCTTTGACAGTAAATAGTGCTAGCTGTAGAGGTAATTCTGTCGTTATTGGTTTGCTTTCTTTCCCCCTTAGGGAAGTTGAAATGAGGAAGGGCTGGAAAGGGACCTGTAGGCAACTCCAGAAACAAGGATTTTCTTTTCTTTTTTCTTTTTCTTTTCTTTTTGCTTCTTTGACCTATTATTCAAGTTTACTTTTTTTTATTTTTATACAAGCGTTTAATGTATTTTGTTCATATCCATTCTGTTTACCCTCCGTTTTACCTCCCTCCTCTTTCTCCCTTATTTCCTTTTGTCTAGTAAGATTAAATTAGATCTCTTTTAATGTCGTTAAATTGAATTGCTACTTAAGAGTAAAAGATAAAGGTACAAGATCCAAATGATAAATGTCACTGTACTGTATACTTTAAAAGTATCAATAAACTCAGTGAGAAAAAAGTACACTTTTCAAATTCTGCACTACTAAAAAAAATAAATAAATAAATAAGAGCAAAAGAAACTGTCCAGAATAATAAACGTAGGCTTCAACTTGAGAACTTGTATCAGTTTTCAGCCAATCTATCTTTTTCTTCCCTGGTTTCACAATGACTTCTTTGGTGATGTTTTGTAATTATTTTATGGTACATATTTGTGAATAGACATAAAGAGGTGAAGCCACTTGAATAAATTCTCTTTCCTCTAGGTAGTCTTTGGGACAAAACTTCAATATCAATTTCTACAGCTACAAAATAGAAATAATATCAACTTTTTATTTTCATAAAATTAAAGTGAGGTGATACATGAAGTGGCTGTGAAAGAGAAGATTGGATAAGAGAAAGCTGGCTGTGCACGTGGGCGTGACCTGCTAATCATGAAAAACCAGAACACAGAAAACAGTTTCCAAGCCCCATACCTGGGGCCAATCGAAAAGTTTTCTTCACCTCTTCTGGTGTGAAATCAAGCAGGTTTATGGTAAGATGGCCTAGACTTCACAACAGGCTGAAGACCAAGAGACACAGAAGGACCCTGCCACTGCACTTCTCTTGGTAGCCTGCTCTCACTCTGCAGAGTGTAGTTCTTTTCCCACCTTTCACAAATGTAAAATCTCGCTACACTTTTTGCATGTCTTGCTAGTTCTTTGTTCAGGACACCAAGAACCTGAAAAGAATCTCTGCAGTACCCCCAAATCTGGTAACAGCTGGCAGATAATATGGCTATTAATAGCTTCAAAAGGTTTGGAAGAAGTTGGCTTGAAAACTAAAACACTAAGGAGAAAATTCTGGAAAGAACTTTAGACTTTTAGAGTAAAAATTTATAAATAAATACATATTTGTGTAGGATGAAATAACCTTATGACAACGAAAAATGTCTAGCATTGACTATAAACTATTTCAAATACAGAAAAGAATGACAAACTTTAAAAAGAAACTATGTGAGGACTCATTTCAAGGTCATGCTCAGATGTTTGCTATTGATATTTTTCATGCTCATTTATCCTTTCATTTCCTTTGGAAGAAGAAATACATTTATTTCCTGAATTTTTAGTTTCCATTTCTTTCCCCAGCCTTTCATTTTCGTCTTGTTTTTATAATAACTGGTTCTTGCCCTATTTAACCTATCCCCAAACTCTCAAACATCACTACTCATAGCAGCATATCATAATCTTAGCAAATTTTCCTTTTAAGTTTTGTTTTTTTCAACAGTTAAAACTCTGGATCCAATTTACCTACTTCCCTAGAGTTAGTATTTGGGGACTCAATGCTAAATTCTAATTTAGCATGCTACATAAATATTTGATTGGATTAGAAAGGAATCTGAAAGGAGAATTAGGAACAAATCCAGTCAATCCTATGACTTTTAGTTGCATATTCATAAATTGATGGGGAAACACATTTTAATGAAAATGTAAACCACACGATAAGAATTTGGAATGCTCTGGTAAAATTTTCCCATTGATTTCTATTCATAAAGTGAAATATCAATAGTAGAAACAAAAATAAAAATATATTTGACATTCTAGCTACTCATTCCCCGAATAAATATACTGGTGCATACATGCATAACATATAAACTAGTGGAGACTTAATGTCTGTATGCCCACAACCTCAAATTCTAGATTCTTTATTCCCAATATTCCCTGCTTTATTCCTCATGCATTTTTCTGCCTTTTCTCATTCGCTGTCCTTTTTTCCATATCAAAACTCCCTAGGCCTTAATTCCCTTTGAGGCCCAACAAGTCATGGTCACTTCAGAGATTCCTTATTAAGTCATAAGAATTAATTCTATCTTCCTTTGTGCCATTTCCGTGAAACATGACTTATTCCTCAACTTGGGGACTTTTCTTTCTGCTTCTCGGTATGCCTGTGTTTTATTTTTTAATGTTTCCCCAATCTACTAGTCTGTCTGAAAGTAAAGGTGACATTTTATGCACATCTGGAATCTTCTGATAACCCATATGAATCCTAGAAGATAGAAAGGTAGTAATTTTTGCCAAATAGAGAAAAGAGAAGATAGAATGATTCTCACCAACAGAAAGTACTAGAGGCTCTCTTACTCAGGACCCACAGAACTATACATTTTATGGCTTCTTTACAGTGATACTAGAGCCATATGACTAATTCTAACAGTACAAGCAGAAGTATCCTCTAATACCTGGGTAACAGGAGTTAAGACCCCAGATGCCTCCTTCCTGCCTCCCCTCTCCCTGCCATAGTGCCATGCTTCTCAGGAAGGAGCTATAAAAAGAAGTTACTGAAAGCAAATGACTACTTTCCTTGCACTCATCTTGGTGTGATCAGGTAAACCTGTGAGATTTCAGACTTTCTTTATCCTGAGGACACAAACTGTACTGTTCTGATCAGTATGTGATATGATTGAAAATATTTTAAATTATAGTGCACAAACACCCAATGAAACGAACTTATGACAGTGCTTTAGTGTGCTTATAAGTCAAAGCTAGAAATACATTCTCATGATCCCCTAATTTTTATAATAGCATTTTTCACAGCACCCCTTTGGGAAGCCAATGTGAGTTTGTGCGTGCATAAACTATGTACAATAGATTGACTTCAACTAAGGACAAAGGAGTGCATGTCCCAATAGTCCCCTCAACTGGATTGAAAACAAGTGTGCACCTGCCGTCCGGAGGCAGCACACTGTGATTAAGATTGTAGCTGACTAGCAGCTGTGAGTATGATTGCTGTGACCTGGTTTCATAGAATGTACAAAGAACGAAAGACATGTCTGCACTGCTTCTAGTGTTTATTTAGAGTATAGGCATACAGGTTACTTTAGAAACGCTCTTCTGTGAAAGGCTTCCATAGAAGTCTGGGGAATGTACATCTAGCCCAATTTTAGGAAGCATAAAAAAGGAGGTCAATTGTACCGGACACTGCTAGATGCTATGCTTTTCAGTAACTATAATAGCACAAAGGAATCTTGTCAAAACACATGATTTTGGGTGCACCAAGAATCCATGCACTATATTAAAATTTATCTGTTGGTATTTTTGTGATGTTATATTTTATTTATTTACCTACTTATTTTTATGTTTTTACTTTTTGGTACCAGGGATCGAACTCAGGACCTTGCACTTGTGAGGCAGGTGGTGGCACCACTGAGTGAAATCCCCAGCTATTTTATTTATTTTTAAGGAAAAATGTATTGTTTCAGTGATTGAAGCAACCATAGTTATATTTTTTCTTTTTATAAAATTTTTATTGGTCCATGTTTGGAGTACTTAATGATTACATTTTTTTGATTGATTGATTGTACCGGGAATCAAACTCAGGGCCTTGCACTTGCCAGGCAGTCACTGTACTACTAAACTACATCCCTGACCCTAATGATTACATTTCTTATGCAGAGCTGGCAGGTGTACACAACACATCTCAATAGGTTGGGGTTTTTTTGTTTGTTGTTTTTTTGTTTTGTTTTTATGGTGCTGGAGATCAGACTCCAGTCCTTGAGCTTGCACGGCAGGCCACGGAACCACTGAGCTAAATCTCTGGCCCATCTCAATACTTTTTTCATCTATTTCCCTTCCCCTCCTACTCCCTCCCTCATCTCTTGGTCCCTTTCTTCAAACTCATAGCTTCTTTTATACAAAAAACTCAAAAAATGTAAATATATTTTATTATTATCCACAAACTAAACAATAGATTCTAAGTGTCTTATAGGTGCTTTCATATGAAAATAATTAGCCTGAAAGCATGTAAAATTAGAGAATTGGATTAAAAGTTCTTATACTCTAAATTCTGGGGGGATTTTTGTACACAAATAGTTTTGACAATTTAGTAGTTCAAGAGTTTTATTAAATGAATGCATGATGATTTAATAGGGTACCAAGAAACAGATTTTAGTGTTTTCTGTACATATGTTCTAACGAAGGTCCTTTAATATCTCTGAATCATACCTTAATAATTAGTTTCACTTTATAAATTTCCATGATGCTTGCAAATACTTTAAGGGTACAAAGATGCACAGAATTTATACATATTCTTAATAAATTAAAAATATGTAGGTTTCTTTCCTATACATGTGCTTATTATATGAGCAATAAAATTATTTGCAAAGTAAGTTTGTGTGTCATGTAACTTTAAGTGTACCTGCTTAGCTGTTAATTCTTGTGTAACTTTCCATGTGCCCAGATGTCCTTGAAAGGTTAACCACTGTTTGCATTAACTTAATACTTTGTAGGTCACAAGAGAGTTTCATGTAAAATGCTCTCAACTGCATGCATGCTAGTAAGCGATTCATTTGTGGTTTACTTCTTTCCTGGAAGTTAAGGCCAATTTCTGTTCTCTTTTCGATTCAGGAATTGTTTTCCAGCTTTCCATCTGCCAAAAAATTTTGTGCTGTTTTGTTACTTAATGCAAGTTAATTTCAAAGTTGCTTAATTTTTCTAAATGATGGCTGTGATCTTGAATTATCACTTAATTGTGTTTTTTCTAAGAAATAGTCTTCTTGAGATATGTTATTTCCAATGTGGTGTATGTTTTAAATTCATTAATGACTGCTTCTGTACTTGAACAATGTGATGTACACTAGAGTTGAACTGCACAAGTTGTACCTTAATGTATATTAATTTCCTTTGGTTTGTTCTTAGTTTACTCACCAGAACTTCATTTGCAAGTGCATTCTAGAGTCATGGAATCCAGTGATGATACTGGAATATTTATATTCATTGACTTTCATTCATTAATTAATTTGGTGTATCTTTTTAAGCAATGATTATATTCAAGACACTATAACCTTTGCAGATATAAATAGTGATTGCCTTAAGCAAACCAGAAATGCTTTTATTTACCTTTTGGAATGATTTTGATGCCCAATGTTATTATAACAGTCATCAAATAATAATGTTTCTATATACACACAGAGTATAAATATTTGGACCATGGGCTTCGTAAGTAATATTTATAAATGTTTTGGTCTAAACTGAAATAGACCATCCTAACTATTGAAATGAAAAGTTATTGCTATAGTTTGGATCTGGAAGATCTCCCAAAGGTCTGGTTTCCAGCTCCCAGTGCTGTTGATGATGTGGGTCCTAGTAGTAGGAGCATGTCCTTTACTAACTCTGGAACTCTATCCTTTCTTGTCTCTCTACACTTCTGGATATAAAGTGAGCAATTGTGCTGCTCTTTGTACACTCACCATTGCCCTACCAAAGCCCCCAAAGCAACTAGGCCAACTGACCATGGACTGAAGCTCCAAAACTGTGAGCTTCTTTTTAGGCTGTTGTTGTAATAAAAGCAGACTAACAGTTATTCAAGGACTTGAAAACATGTATCAAAAAGACCTGCAGAGTTTGTCCTAATAGCTTCAAAAGAATATTCAAAACTTTAAATGGAAGTTGTGCCTTTTTTTGTCAGTGTACCAGCTTCATTTTATTTCAAATAAACTTTAATCAACTATAATTCAAATACATTAAACTGTATGCATTTTATATTTGGTGAATGTTAATGTTAATAAATGTATATATCCATTAAACTACCATTTTAAATATTAGAATATATCCATTATTCCAGAAAGCTCCCTTCTGTATTTTCCTTTAATCTTTCCCACATCTCAGGAAATCACTGATCTGGTTTTTATCATTTGTATATTAGTTTGCTGCCACCTGCCTTGCAAGTGCAAGGTACCGAGTTCAATCCCCAGTATAAAAAAATATTATATGTATGTTTGTTTTCCCCATTTTTTGAGTGTTATATAGATGGAAGGATGTAATATGTATTCTTCTGTATTTACCTTTTTTCTTCTGCATGTATAGATATTTTTAATTCATCCATATAATTGTAAGTACATTAGTAGCTTGATCCTTTTATTGTTGAGCAGTGGGTATTCTATGCTATGAAAATACAGTGACTTGTCAATTCACAATTGATAGATATTTGTGTTATTTTTATTATTGTCTTCTGTGACTATTTAAAAATATTTCTGTGTGTATATGTTATCAACTTCAATTTTTAATTCAAAAACTCCAATGACATTACTTAAAAATCAATATTATTTATGAAATGGTCATTAGGCATCTGATTAACTGAATATAAGCCTGTTGGACACTCACTAATCCACTACTTTGGCAAAGATTTAAAAATGTCTGCGGATGGGGGCACCTGCTTGTACAGTGGAACCTTGAAATTCATGGAAGTTATGTTCATGGAACACCTACAAATTGTGAAAAACTGGGAATTTCAGATATGGTCAGAAAAATGCCTATAAATTCCTATTTTTATCATTTTAGCCCTAAATATGCTATATCTCCTGCAGTCATGTAATTTAATAGAATACTGTATTAATAAAGCCTCAGAAGGTGCAGGGTTTCTTGGGGGCATCTAGGGATCTTACGGCTTTAAGCAGAACAAACTGGAGAAAGTTATGCAGTACAGCCATCTGTTATGATGTGGTGTGTTTACTGTACATAGGTTACAGGGCAGCAGCCAATCAGCAGCAAGGAGAACTAAATAATACTTTTGCATTGGCTACTTGCAAACCCTCCATTAAAAACCAATTGTAGAACCGGGGATTTAGCTCAGTGGTTCCACCACCTACCTCGCAAGCTCAAGGACCCGAGTTCAATCCTGGTACCAAAAAACAAAAACAAACAAACAAAAAATTGCAGAAGATATTTGCAGTTTCAATAAAACTGCGGGGTTTCCATGAACCATTGTTAGTTAGCTTCCAAGGAAAAATCTGAGAATGACCTAGGCCTTCAACTCTTAACTGTGACTTTACGGGCCAGTACTGTAATCCTGATACTCAGAAGGCTAAGGGTGGAGGATCTCCATGAGTTCAAATACAGCCTGGGCTATTGTTATGGTTTGGGTCTGGCTGTTCCCCCAAAGCCTCATTCCGTGGGAGATAACTGAATCTGGAATGTGTGGTGCTGGAATTAAGAGCATATGATTACTTAACCACTACATATGAGTGATTGGTTTTTCACTGCCCTGATTCGAATAGTCTGGATGGGATGAAAGAAGGAGAAAGATGCCGAGAAGCTCTCTTGTTGTCTTTGCTGCTATGTGGCTGCCATCTTGTTCCTCCTCTGCCATGCCTATTTGTCATACCTGTCTTGGAGCTAGCTGATTATGGACTGAAACCTCTACAAACTGTAAGCCAAGTAAACCCTTCCACTTTCAGTGTAGGTGTCTGGTATTTTGTCTCAGCAACGACAGAAAAATAACACAGATTCATAGTGAGTTCAAGGTCAGCCTGTGCTACAGAACAAGACCTTGTTTCAAAACAAAGACTTAAAAATATTTAAGCTTTATTTTCTTTTTAAGTAATGCAAACTAATTCGCTGGTTAAAAAGAATCAGCCAGATAATATAAATATAATTGCTTTGTAAATTATAAACTTTAATAGAACTAAAATATTATACTATTATACATAGCATGTGTAAATACTTAGGAAATAAATAGCCCACCAGGAATAAAATAATAAAAGTATTTTATTAATGATATTTTAAAGGACAGATTGGATGATTGTGAAATTCTGTTATAGTTTTCTATTAAAAAATCACTTAACTATCACCTTTAAATAAATTTCCTAAGGTAACTATCTTTGGTTAACTATAAGAACAGCAATCTGCCATGTAAGACCTAGAGAGCCAGTTGTAAAGTAGTTCATTAAGAGATATTCTTTATCTCTCATTCAATCAAATTATATTTGCAGAATGAATTTCTAGTCATAACTATTCTAGAGAGAATTTTATTTCTTTTCAACTCTAGATATGAATCTTTAAAGATTGTGCTTCTTTTTATTTGAAAGAGCTTGTTCCTCCTTCTTTTCTGCTCCTGTAACTATTTTTGTGTAAGCAAAAAAAAAGAAAAAAGAAAAGAAAAAAGAAGGAATTATTAAAAATCAAGAACAGTTTCATCATGCTCACTGATTTTATTTGCTCAACTGGTATGGATTGTCTGCTTACAATATCTGGAGCCTCCACTAAAAAGACTAATACACAAGAGCACAGACTCCTGATATTATCTAGAGCAGGTGTGGTGAACCTTTTAGAGCGTTCAATGGTAGAA